TTACTGAGTATACCAGGAAAAGTGTACGGTAGGGTTATAATTGAAAGAATTAGAGGTAAGACAGAATGTAGGATTGTGGATGAGCAAGGAGGTTTCAGAGTGGGTAGGGGATGTGTAGATCAAGTGTTTACATTGAAGCATATATGTGAACAGTATTTAGATAAAGGTAGGGAAGTTTTTATTGCATTTATGGATTTAGAAAAGGCATATGATAGAGTGGATAGAGGAGCAATGTGGCAGATGTTGCAAGTATATGGAATAGGTGGTAAGTTATTAAATGCTGTAAAGACTTTTTATGAGGATAGTGAGGCTCAGGTTAGGGTGTGTAGAAGAGAGGGAAACTACTTCCCGGTAAAAGTAGGTCTTAGACAGGGATGTGTAATGTCACCATGGTTGTTTAATATATTTATAGATGGGGTTGTAAAGGAAGTAAATGCTAGGGTGTTCGGGAGAGGGGTGGGATTAAATTTTGGGGAACCAAATTCAAAATGGGAATTGACACATACTTTTTGCTGAGGATACTGTGCTTATGGGAGATTATAAAGAAAAATTGCAAAGGTTAGTGGATGAGTTTGGGAATGTGTGTAAAGGTAGAAAGTTGAAAGTGAACATAGAAAAGAGTAAGGTGATGAGAGTGTCAAATGATTTAGATAAAGAAAAATTGGATATCAAATTGGGGAGGAGGAGTATGGAAGAAGTGAATGTTTTCAGATACTTGGGAGTTAACGTGTTGGCGGATGGATTTATGAAGGATGAGGTTAATCATAGAATTGATGAGGGAAAAAAGGTGAGTGGTGCGTTGAGGTATATGTGGAGTCAAAAAAACGTTATCTATGGAGGCAAAGAAGGGAATGTATGAAAGTATAGTAGTACCAACACTCTTATATGGGTGTGAAGCTTGGGTGGTAAATGCAGCAGCGGAGGAGACGGTTGGAGGCAGTGGAGATGTCCTGTTTAAGGGCAATGTGTGGTGTAAATATTATGCAGAAAATTCGGAGTGTGGAAATTAGGAAAAGGTGTGGAGTTAATAAAAGTATTAGTCAGAGGGCAGAAGAGGGGTTGTTGAGGTGGTTTGGTCATTTAGAGAGAATGGATCAAAGTAGAATGACATGGAAAGCATATAAATCTATAGGGGAAGGAATGCGGGGTACGGGTCGTCCTCGAAAGGGTTGGAGAGAGGGGGTAAAGGAGGTTTTGTTGGCAAGGGGCTTGGACTTCCAGCAAGCGTGCGTGAGCGTGTTACTTAGGAGTGAATGGAGACGAATGGTACTTGGGACCTGACGATCTGTTGGAGTGTGAGCAGGGTAATATTTAGTGAAGGGATTTCAGGGAAACCGGTTATTTTCATATAATCGGACTTGAGTCCTGGAAATGGGAAGTACAATGGCTGCACTTTAAAGGAGGGGTTTGGGATATGGGCATTTGGAGGGATTGCGTTTTTTTAAGTGTAGCTTCAAATTTGTATTCGGACCTTCAAAAACAGTTAATGGGAGTTGGAAAAATTTAAAAGGAGTGAAATTTTTTCTTTTTGGGGGGGATTTTTTTTTTTTTGGGGTCCCCTGTGGTGGGGAGGCCACTTTTTGAAAAATAATATAATTATTTTAAATTTAATTTTTATAATAAATATTTTTTTTTTAATTTTTTTTTTTTTTAAATTTAAATTTTTAAAATATTAATATAATATATTAATATAATAAATTATATTATATATATATAAAATAAATATATATATATATATATATATATATATAAATATATTATTATATATAATATATATTATATATATATATATAATATATATATATTATATACACAGCGGGCCCCCACTTATACGGCGGTTAGGTTCCAGGCTACCCCCGTAAGGGGAAAAACCCCCGAAAAGTGGAACATTTTTTTTTCCCACTTATAAATGCAACAAACACTAGAAACAAGTTTACTTAACATATATTAAGTTAGCAATAGAACCAGGCATCAAAAAACAATAAAAAAGTACAAAAACCAAATAGTGCACTCATTACTTACCTTAAAATTTTATAGTCTTAATCTAGGGTGAGAAGTGTTTTTATTTAAGAAATCAAGTGTTATTTGGTAGTCGGGGGTACCAACCGGGCCCACCCCACCCCACATACTTTCATGATTAGGGATCCCGAGCGATAAAATGTATATACAGTTCATCATTACTTACCCTTAACCCTTTCAGGGGCCCAAAGGCCCCAAAACTGGAGTCAGCCCAGTGTCCCAAGAATTTTCAAAAAAAAAAAAATTTTTATTTTTTTTAATGAAATCGTAGAGAATTTTTTTGTGAAGGGGAATAAAACAAAAAGTACAAATTTTGGTGGAAAATTTTCGAAATTTTGCTCTCGCGAATTTTGATGTGTCAGGGGTATTTCGAAACGGCTTTTGCCCACTTTGACTCCCATTTTTAGGCCAATTACATTTTTCGTCAACCAAAATTTTTAGCATTCACTAGTATTACTTCTTTCTATCGATTTAGCACAAGAAATCGCCCCAAATCAACTGTTTCAACTACAAAAAAAAGTGTCGGAAATTGTTAATTTTTGGGCCAAATTTTAACACAAAATTCAAAAAATTCCAGTTTCAAAATAGGGTCCAAATGAACAATGTAGGCATTCCTGGCACTAAACTAACTTTTTTCTGTTCATTAGTTATGTTTTGAGGCTTTACAAATAAATTCCATTTTGATTTTTTATTCACATACTGAATTTTTATTCACACCAAAAAATAGAAGATTTACTGTTATGCAATAATGTAATAATTGTATAACTATCATCACCATATTTGTGAATGTATATTAGACCCACCAGCTGACGTGTATTAGACGTGTGAGGTCGTTTGTTTACTCTTGAATATCGGCAAAAATTTAACCTTTCTGCTACTTTGAGCTCAGTTTCAAGCCATTTCCAGTGCTAAAACCAATCAAAATCATCTCTATTTCTGTAATATCTCTACCATTCTATCAAATGAGACCAAGAAATCGCAAATACAACTATAAAAAACATACGAAAAAACACTGCAAAGTTGCTGTTTTAATCGAAAAATCATGATTTCATTTTTTTTCTCTCATTATACACAGTGTGCTGCAGGATCTGTTTTATGTGGTGCACACATACCACATAGATGTATTCTCTCATATCTAGGCCCAAATGTACCACTCACAGTTTATCAGAGTGAGCTGAGCTCATGGCGTAGATCTACGGTTTGGACCCTGAACGTAAAGCCGTAGATCTACGGGACGGACCCTGAAAGGGTTAAAATATAGGGTGAGATGGGTAGTATTTATTGTAAAAAAATCAAGTGCGGTATGTATGGTAGTCAGCCGGGCTACCATACTAGGCCAACCCACCCACACATACTACGTAACCGGTTTCCCTGAATCCCTTCACTAAATATTACCCTGCTCACACTCCAACAGCTCGTCAGGTCCCAAATACCATTCGTCTCCATTCACTCCTATATAACACGCTTCCTAGAAGTCCAAGCCCCTCACCCACAAAACCTCCTTTACCCCCTCCCTCCAACCTTTTCGAGGACGACCCCTACCCCGCCTTCCTTCCCTTACAGATTTATATGCTCTCCAAGTCATTCTACTTTGATCTGTTCTCTCTAAATAACCAAACCACCTCAACAACCCCTCTTCAGCCCTCTGACTAATACTTTTATTAACTCCACACCTTCTCCTAATTTCCACACTCTGAATTTTCTGCATAATATTCACACCACACATTGCCCTTAGACAGGACATCTCCACTGCCTCCAACTGCCTCCTCGCTGTGGCATTTACAACCCAAGCTTCACAACCATATAAGAGTGCTGGTACTACTATACTTTCATACATTCCCTTCTTTGCCTCCATAGGTAACGTTTTTTGTCTCCATATATACCTCAATGCACCACTCACCTTTTTACCTTCATCAATTCTATGATTAACCTCATCCTTCATAAATCCATTTGATGACACGTCAACTCCCAAATACAGTGGACCCCCGCATAACGATCACCTCCGAATGCGACCAATTATGTAAGTGTATTTATGTAAGTGCGTTTGTACGTGTATGTTTGGGGGTCTGAAGTGGACTAATGTACTTCACAGTATTCCTTATGGGAACAAATTCGGTCAGTACTGGCACCTGAACATACTTCTGGAGTGAAAAAATATCGTTAACCGGGGGTCCACTGTATCTGAAAACATTCACTTCTTCCATACTCCTCCTCCCCAATTTGATATCCAATTTTTCTTTATCTAAATCATTTGATACCCTTATCCCCTTACTCTTTTCTATGTTCACTTTCAACTTTATACCTTTACTCACACTCCCAAACTCATCCACTAACCTTTGCAATTTTTCTTTAGAATCTCCCATAAGCACAGTATCATCAGCAAAAAGTAACTGTGTCAACTCCCATTTTATATTTGATTCCCCATAATTTAATTTCACCCCTCTCCCCAACACCCTAGCATTTACTTATTGTACAACCCCATCTATAAATATATTAACCCTTAAACAGTCCAAACGTATATATACGTTCTTACGAGTAGCGTTTATACGTTCTATTTTTCCTGCCTTCAAATTTGGCACAATTGGCCTGAGACGCCTTGTCAGCATAGAATGGGTCCTAGCACTCAGTGTGTGCGGTATTACAAAAATCTGGGACCACTTGGTACCTTGTGGGAGCGCCAGCTAGAGCAAACAGTGCGGCAAACACCAAGGATTCACTGATGTAATGTCATATTAACACTCCTCTTTTAAGAGGAAAGTGATGTTAACCCCAAGTTTAGGGTCTGTCTATCTCTGTCTGTCTTTATCTCTGTCTCTGTCTATCTCTGTCTACCTCTGTCTCTGTCTATCTGTGTCTGTCTTTGTCTGTCTCTGTATCTCTCTCAATCTGTCTCTCTGTCTGTCTATCTCTGTCTCACAGGTACACATAAATACAAGTATACATAGTGTTAATTACCTAGGATAACTAAAAAAATCCAGACAATGTGCTATACCCTGCTTGAAGATGTGAGTAAATGTGATGACAATGCAGTCTTGTGGCTCTCTCTGAGACAGTGAGCTAGACGGTTAGACAGATAGACAGGGAGCTTGACAGACAGACATGTTTGTGTTCCAGCGAAAACAAAGTGAGGGCCATGCTCATCAAATATCACCTCTAATCTTTTCTTATCAGCTGCACCCTCCCCCACCCTTGTGTATGCTCATCAAATGTCAGCTCTTATCAGTTATCTCATCTTATCATGTCACTGTCAGGGGTGGACTGTTTTTCATGCTTCAAGGAAACTTATTACCTATTATTATTATTATGTATTATTATTCTCCTCCTCCTCCTCCTCCTCCTCTTCCTCCTCCTCCTCCTCTTCTTCCTCCTCCTCCTCCTCCTCTTCCTCCTCCTCCTCCTCCTCTTCTTCCTCCTCCTCCTCCTCCTCCTCTTCTTCTTCCTCCTCCTCCTCCTCTTCTTCCTCCTCCTCCTCTTCTTCCTCCTCCTCCTCCTCTTCTTCCTCTTCCTCCTCCTCCTCCTCCTCTTCTTCCTCCTCTTCCTCCTCCTGCTCCTCTTCCTCCTCCTCTTCTTCTTCCTCCTCCTCTTCTTCCTCCTCCTCTTCTTCCTCCTCCTCTTCTTCCTCCTCTTCTTCCTCCTCTTCTTCCTCTTCTTCCTCCTCCACTTCTTCCTCCTCCTCCTCCTCCTCCTCGTCTTCCTCTTCCTCCCCTTCCTCCTTCTCTTCCTCCTCCTCTTCCTCCGTCGTTTGCAAATGCTGCAGCAAGGAGGCAGCTGGAGACAGTGAAGGTGTCCTGTCTAAAGGCAATGTGTGGTGTAAATATTATGCAGAGAATTCAGAGTGTGGAAATTAGGAGGAGGTGTGGAGTTACTAAAAGTATTGGTCAGGGGGCTGAAGAGGGGTTGTTAAGGTGGTTTGGTCATTTAGAGAGAATGAATCACAGTAGAATGACATGGAGAGCTTATAAATCTGTAGGGGAAGGAAGGTGGGATAGGGGTCATCCTTGAAAGGGTTGGAGGAATGGGGTAAAGGAGGTTTTGTGGGTGAGGGGCTTGGATTTCCAGTAAGTATGCATGATCGTGTTAGATAGAAGTGAGTGGAGATGAATGGTTTTTTGGGACCTGATGAGCTCTTGGAGTGTGAGCAGGGTAATATTTTGTGAAGGGATTCAGGGAAACTGGTTAGCTGGACTTGAGTCCTGGAAATGGTAAGTACAATGCCTGCACTTTAAAGGAGGGGTTTGGGATATCTCACTAATAGTATTTGTTTTTAATTCTTGTATTTAAAATTAATTTTTAGTAATACAGGTTATCACACAAATTTTCACTATTTGTTATAACAGAATTACAATTCTTTTTGTGGTTTTTGCAGTGTTTGGTTATTGTACCAGGAGCTCTGGGGAAGTCTAGGAGATCATCATGTGCCATCTCTTTATGTAAGATCAATGGAGCAACTCTGTCAGGATCTTCTGAATCTCATGATTGGTGTACCTTCACGAAGCTTCCTTTGGTCTGCAGTAAGTTAGCACAGTAATTGCATTATTTCTTATGTAATATCTACTTCTGGGATACAATACAGTTGCATCTTTAGGTTGAATTCGTAAAATATTTGTCAAACAAAAATTACAATTATATAATACAAGATGATTAGAAGGGCATATAAATCTGGGGTGGAAGGATGGATGAGCAGGGGTCATCCTAGAAAAGGTTAAAAGGAGGAGGTAAAGGAGGTTTTCAATACTAGGGGCTTGGACATCCCCCAGTACCAACAATACCACCAGTCCGATGACATTCTTCTTTGCAAATATACAGGGTCTAAAGCCAGCAACAAACAACAAAATACCTTTCATCCGTGGACTGCTTGCAGAGGCAAAGGCAATGTTTGCGGCTTTCACTGAGACCCACATAAGGGATCACTTGGACAACGAAATATGGATCCCAGGTTACAACCTATACAGATGTGACAGAGTGAACAGGCAAAAGGGGGGGATGTTGGCCTGTACATTGCAGAGTCACTTGTTTGCACAGAACTGCTTAATGCCTCAAATGATGTAGTGGAAGTTTTAGCAGTACAGGTCGAGAACCAAAACCTAGTCATTGTGGTAGTCTACAAGCCTCCGGATGCAGCATCCCAGCAATTCCAGGAACAGCTGTTAAAAATTGACCACTGTCTGGAAAATCTTCCAGCTCCTGCACCCAACATCTTGCTCCTGGGGGATTTCAACTTAAGGCACCTAAAATGGAGGAATATAGCAAATAATATTGTTGCAGTAATAACACCAGGAGGCAGCTCTGATGAAAACTCACACTCACACGAGCTTTTAAATCTTGCACAAAATTCAATTTAAACCAGCAAATAATAGAGCCTACTAGACGGAGAATACACTGACCTCATCTTCACTAACAATGATGATCTGATAAGAAATGTCACCATATCAAACAATATACTCAGATCACAACAAAATTGAGGTTCAAAACTGTATGCGTGGAGCCCCAGATGACATAATGAGACTATTTCACGAGGGAGCATTCCCCAAAATTCAACTTCAATAACAAAAACAAAAAGTGGGACCAAGTAAACCAAGTCCTAACCGTTTATAAGCTGGGAAGTTTATCTAAGAAAACACGGGACCCCAATTTATGCCTAGAACAGATTAACTTGGTGGCACTCGATGTATGCAAAAAGGCTTTTTCCCCTTTTAAGAAAAAGGAGGAGTAGATGTAAAATAAAAAGAGACAGGCGCTCCCTTTACAGGCGACGGAAAAGAATAACAGAGCGGCTAAAAGAGGTCAATATATCTGAAATGCGGTAGGGAGACACTGGTCAGAGAAATAGCAAGCATCAAAACTTAAGCAAAAGGGAAAATCTTATAGGAGTCAAGGAATCGCGGGAAGAACTAAAAGCCATAAATGAAATCGAAAGAAACCCAAGTATTTCTTCTCCTATGCCAAATCCAAGTCGAGAACAACGTCCAGTATTGGGCCCCTACTTAAACAAAATGGGTCCTACACAGATGACAGAAAGGAAATGAGTGAGCTACTCAAGTCCCAAAAATGACTCAGTTTTAGCAAGCCGCTAACCAGACTGAGAGTCGAAGATCAAAATTAATTTTTATGAGAGAGCCACAAAATTTTTATTAACACAAGCCTATCCGATGTTATCCTGACGCCAAATGACTTTGAACAGCCGATAAATGACATGCCCATGCACTCTGCCCCAGGGCCAGACTCGTGGAACTCCGTGTTCATCAAGAACTGCAAGAAGCCCCTATCACGAGCCTTTTCCATCCTATGGAGAGGGAGCATGGACACGGGGGTCATCCCACAGTTACTAAAAACAACAGACATAGCCCCACTCCACAAAGGGGGCAGTAAAGCAACAGCAAAGAACTACAGACCAATAGCACTAACATCCCATATCATAAAAATCTTTGAAAGGGTCCTAAGAAGCTAGATCACCACCCATCTAGAAACCCAACAGTTACACAACCCAGGGCAACATGAGTTTAGAACAGGTCGCTCCTGTCTCTCAACTATTGGATCACTACGACAAGGTCCTAAATGCACTAGAAGACAAAAAGAATGCAGATGTAATATATACAGACTTTGCAAAAAGCCTTCGACAAGTGTGACCATGGCGTAAATAGCGCACAAAATGCGTGCTAAAGGAATAACAGGAAAAGTCAGTCGATGGATCTATAATTTCCTCACTAACAGAACACAGAGAGTAGTCGTCAACAGAGTAAAGTCCGAGGCAGCTACGGTGAAAAGCTCTGTTCCACAAGGCACAGTACTCACTCCCATCTTGTTCCTCATCCTCATATCCGACATAGACAAGGATGTCAGCACAGCACCGTGTCTTCCTTTGCAGATGACACCCGAATCTGCATGACAGTGTCTTCCATTGCAGACACTGCAAGGCTCCAGGCGGACATCAACCAAATCTTTCAGTGGGCTGCAGAAAACAATATGAAGTTCAACGATGAGAAATTTCAATTACTCAGATATGGTAAAACCCAGGAAAAATTTAAATCTTCATCAGAGTACAAAACAAATTCTGGCCACAAAATAGAGCGAAACACCAACGTCAAAGACCTGGGAGTGATCATGTCGGAGGATCTCACCTTCAAGGACCATAACATTGTATCAATCGCATCTGCTAGAAAAATGACAGGATGGATAATGAGAACCTTCAAAACTAGGGATGCCAAGCCCATGATGACACTCTTCAGGTCACTTGTTCTATCTAGGCTGGAATATTGCTGCACACTAACAGCACCTTTCAAAGCAGGTGAAATTGCTGACCTAAAAAATGTACAGAGAACCTTCACGGCGCGCATAACGGAGATAAAACACCTCAATTACTGGGAGCGCTTGAGGTTCCTAAACCTGTATTCCCTGGAACGCAGGCGGGAGAGATACATGATTATATACACCTGGAAAATCCTAGAGGGAAACTAGTACCGAACTTGCACACGAGAATCACTCACTACGAAAGCAAAAGACTTGGCAGACGATACACCATCCCCCCAATGAAAAGCAGGGGTGTCACTAGCATGTTAAGAGACCATACAATAAGTGTCAGGGGCCCGAGACTGTTCAACTGCCTCCCAGCATACATAAGGGGGATTACCAACAGACCCCTGGCAGTCTTCAAGCTGGCACTGGACAAGCACCTAATGTCGGTTCCTGACCAGCCGGGCTGTGGCTCGTATGTTGGTTTGCTTGCAGCCAGCAGCAACAGCCTGGTTGATCAGGCTCTGATCCACCAGGAGGCCTGGTCACAGACCGGGCCGTGGGGGCGTTGACCCCCGGAACTCTCTCCAGGTAAACTCCAGGCTTGTATGAGCATGTTAGATAAGAGAGTGAAAGCAAGTGGCTTTTATGATTTGATGTGATATTGGAGTGTGAGCAAGGTAACATTTATGAAGGAATTCAGGGAAACCTGTTAGTTGGACTTGAGTCCTAGAGGAAGGAAGTACAGTGCGTATACTATGAAGGAGTTAGGACGTTGCTGTTTGGAGGGTCATCTGGCAAGACAGTGATTGAGTGACAGTGAAAGCATTTTCTTCTGTATCAGGTTACCCTACCTAGGTAGGAGATGAACAGTGTTGAAAATAGAATGACTGCACTCTAAAGGAGGGGTTTGGGATATTTGCTGTTTAGAGTGACATGTAAACTTGTATCTATCAAAATAGTATACAGTACCGACAGGTTGGTAGGTAAGACACATGGGCAACAGTTAGGCAACTTTATTCTGAAATGTTTTGCCTACACTGTAAGCTTCTTCAGTCAAGTACAGAAAGTAGGCAAGAGCAGTAGAGATGTGAAGATGATGTTATTAGTCCAGTGATGGACTGATTACATCATCTTCACATCTCTACTGCTCCTGCCTACTTTCTGTACTCGACTGAAGAAACCTACTGAGTAGGCGAAGCGTTTTGGAATAGAGTTGCCTAACTGTTGCCCATGTGGCTTACCTACCAAACTCGTATCTGCGTACCTCTGGCAAGACAGTGATATTATGAATAATGGCAGAAGTGTTTTGTTTTTTGGGTCACCTTACCTCAGTGGGAGACAGCCAGCATGTTAATTTTTTTTTTTTTTAACACAAAGGGTGTCTCCCACTGAGGCAGGGCGACCCCCCCCCCCCAAAAAAAAGAAGCCCTTTCATCATTATTTACACTATCACAGTCTTTGCAGAGTCACACAGATATGACAGTTTAGATGTCCTAAGAAAGCAAATACAGTGGACCCTCGGGTAACGATTTTAATCCGTTTCAGAGAGCTTGTCCTTAACTGATTTTATTGTTAACTGAATTAATTTTCCCCATAAGAAATAATGGAAATCCAATTAATCCATTCCAGACACCCAAAAGTATTAAAAAAAAAATTTTTTTTTACATGAAATTTGCATTTTCCTACAAAGAAAACAATGAGACATTCACAGTAAATAAATACAGTGGTCCCTCGTTTTTCGTAAATAATCTGTTCCTGGAGGAGCTACTATAAACGAAATTTATGATTTGCGAATCAATTTTCCCCATAAGAAATAATGTAAATACAATTAATCCGTTTCTGACACTCAGAAGTATTAAAACAAAAAAATTTTTTACATGAAATATACATGTAGTACATAAACAATACAATGGGAAATGATGAATGAAACATTAACAGCATAACACTTACCTTTATTGGAGATTCTTCTTAGAGTATGGGAGACTGGAGGAGGAGAGAGATTGGATTGTTTACAGTTTGGAAGGGGAATCCCCTTCCAGCAACACCTCAGGTACCAATTGCTTCTCTTCTCTGTTTCTTAATGCCACTAGGACCACCTTGAGAGTCACTCTAGTCCTGTCTCGCAAAGTAACTGTGGAGAGAGCTCTGTTTCTGGAGTCTCTTTAACACTTCCCTAAAATGGTACAAGACTTTGTCACTGTACATATTTCTCACCTTCTTTACCACAGGCTTGGCGCTAGGAGCTTTCTTTGGAGCCATGGTAGCTTATTTAGTACTT